AGCAATCACAACATCATGGCTACGTAGGAGAAGGATCCGGGTACTGATACATTCTCTCAGTTTAAACTTTTGATCGGTGATTTGTGTTCTATTCTGAATAAAATATTAGATGTTGGCACCTCCACATCATTGCGTTCAGTTTTTATTCACAATTTGTTTAGTATCCCAACTTTTTTGGAATCCACTTTGTTAATACAATCAGTAAATAATAAATTCAAATTGATCTACAACATTTTAAGTCAGGAGTGTTCTATAAAACACTTTGACCTAAAAAAAAAATGAATAAAACAATTTGTGCAGATTTTTTTTAAATCAAAATGATGAAGTCAGGATTAATAGATACAATGAGTACGTTTTGCAGTGCACAGATTTTTGAAGTTTCAAACATGATCCTGCAGCTCTCAGCTCCTGCTCAGTCTGGACCTGGACCTGGACCTGGTCTCAGAGCAGCAGAGAAGTCGCAAAGAGCGAGCGGGCTGGGGTGTGTGTGTGGGGGGGTGGGGGTGTCCAGGGGAACGCGCTCACAAGAGAAGAACCTGACAAGTTGTTTAATGACATAAAATATATTTTGTTAGTGAAGAATAGAGTCCTAACATTTGTTAAACATCTGTTTTTACAACAAATAAAATACCATCAAACTTGTGCTTCAACAATCGATAAAACTTAAAAATGTCACTGTGAAAGATTTGGAGGTGTTGCTCTGGCTTTGACTTGATACTCTTTGTTGCTGCGTGCTGTGAGTGCAGTGTCTAGAGCGGAGGACTAGTTGGTAAAGAACAGTCCTAACATTTATTAAACTTCTGTACATCTAAATTGTGCTTTGACAAACTAAAAAACAAACAGAAAAACCGTTAAAGAGGAAGAGGGGCAGGTAACTAACGTGTGCAGCACGTGACGAGCGTCAGCAGCTGCTCAGCAGCAGAGGGAAGAGACACGGTTCAATCATGGCTCCTCAAACGACAAGACAGACACATTTGTTCATAGCTTTATTATTAAAACTGAGAGTTGCCGGATTTTAACAAACAGTTGCCCAACACACCCTAACAAAATGAGAATGGTGCACAAAAAAACAAAAACTCCCTCCCTGTTCCTCGGGGTCACATGCATTGCTGGCATTGCTCCGGGCCCCCCCTGGGGGGCGCGCCCCACTATTTGAGAAGGACTGCCCTAGGAGGAGTTCATTCAAATGCGGAGGTTGTAAACCGCCAGAAAGGTGTGAAAATTGGGACGGCATTCCAAAATGGCCGCCTTCCTGTTTATCGTACAACGTTGGTGCCAGAGGGTTTTCTGTGCATCTTGGGGAATTGGACACGCGTACCAAATTTCATGTTGAGGCTTCCACAAGGCCAATTCATTTGGCAGAAAAAATTGCAGCTTGGGCCTGAACAGAGCGATTAGCCTTCGCAGAGCTTCGCTGCTCGGGTCTAATAATAGTGTGTGTGTGTTGCCATCGTATGTTCCCATTCAATGGCAAAATGGGCTCTCTGCATTTAAACCATCCACCACGAGGCGGAGCGCTGGGCAACCTTTGGAGGCGCCCGGGGAGCAACTGGGGATGGGTTGTCTTGCTCAGAGACACCACGAGATGTGCAATAACCGGGAAGCGAACTCGGGACCTTTGGGTCCTGAGTCGACTGCACTGCCCCTACACCATCTCGGCCCCCAAGGTCACAATGCACCTTCAATGTACCAATCTTATTTGACTGGAAAACATCCCCTTGAACAATATCCTAGAAACGATACAAACTGGTTTTAACTGGCCATGAGGTAGTGCTCTGAAATACAACTGAAGTTCAGACAACTGTTGTTAAAACTGCAGAGAATCGGTTTCTCATGTATCGGACAATTTCCGATCTCCCTAAATTAAGGAATTGGGGACCGATAAATCGTCCGTCTGATTTATTAGTGCACCCCAGTTGTAATCCATTAAAAAGTGTGTGTGTGTTTGTTCTCAGAAGTTTAACTTTGGTAGAAAGAGGAAGTGGTCAAGCCCCCTCCTGTCGTCATGGAGAACGTGAGGCATATCCTGTCTGTTAAAACAGTTTGTGTGTGTGTGTGTGTGTGGGGGGGGGGGGTACTCCATGTCCAGCTCTGAGTTTCTCAGAAACCTTCATGAATCATCGGGGTGCTTCTGTTCACTCAGTTCTAGTTTGTGGTGTCTGTCCTGTTTCACTTCCTTTCAACTAAAGCAGAAGTACAGCAGAAGTACAGCAGAAGTACAGCAGAAGTACAGCAGAAGTACAGTAGAAGTACAGTAGTAGAAGTACAGCAGAAGTACAGTAGAAGTACAGAAGTACAGCAGAAGTACAGTAGAAGTACTGTAGCAGAAGTACAGTAGAAGTACAGTAGAAGTACAGTAGCAGAAGTACAGTAGAAGTACAGAAGTACAGCAGAAGTACAGTAGCAGAAGTACAGTAGCAGTACAGTAGAAGTACAGCAGAAGTACAGTAGAAGTACAGTAGAAGTACAGTAGCAGAAGTACAGTAGAAGTACAGAAGTACAGTAGTAGAAGTACAGTAGTACAGTAGCAGAAGTACAGTAGAAGTACAGTAGAAGTACAGTAGAAGTACAGTAGAAGTACAGTAGCAGAAGTACAGTAGCAGAAGTAAAGTTGAAGTACAGTAGTAGAAGTACAGTAGAAGAAGTACAGTAGTAGAAGTACAGTAGTAGAAGTACAGTAGAAGTACAGTAGAAGTACAGTAGCAGTACAGTAGCAGAAGGGACATACACACATTTTGTTGGATGTTCTTAAATATTTCACTTCCATTCTCTGTATTGCACAGTAATGTAGAGTGATGATGCTCTGGTTTATAAAGGCCTAGTAAATGCCACCAATCCAGGACATGTTCTATCAAATAGTTTTTGTTCTTGCATTTAAGAGGACTTGCATATTTTTTACGTGCAGGCATGAAACATCGTTTATCAAGTGAAATCAACTAGCATGAAGTTTATGGTAAGTAATTTTGTTTTTTAAACGCAGATCATAGTTTGAACCAAAATGTGTTCTTTTAATGTGTGTGATTCCTGCTGCAGGTTGTTACAGGATGAAACGCCTCCGGTTGTCCAGTAGCAGTGACAGTTCTGACAATGAGAGTGAGTCGTTTTCTTATTGTTGTTTGCTTTAGTTGGTTTCCATCACACATGCAGTTACACAAATAGGACCCAATGAAATCTTTATATTTGACTTCATATTTAATTTTCCTCTTACAACGTGTCTAATTCTCTGTAGGGATGAACATTTTAAGCTGTTTCGACTTCTTCCAGCCTGTTCCTCTTTCGTCCTTTCCTCCTGCAGACTAATTAATAAAGCTCAAATGTCAACACTGTGTGAAAGCAGGCTGTGTGCATTACAAACATTCCTGATTTGATGTTTTTGCTGAAAAAGGTCCGTACAGTCAAAGTCACAAAGTCCGTTTCTTTACTTGTCATACGCGCCACATGTGGTACATGTGGTGGAATGAAACTGTACACAGGGTCCCAGTTACAGCCAACAAAAGTATAAAATGTCAAAGAAAACCAGTAATAAGATCCGATAGGAACTAAGAAAAACGTTAACTAAAAATACGCTGAGCACCAGCAGTACAACAACGATACGCCGAACAGCAGAGTCTGTGTACAGAGTTGAACTGAAGTTTTACATTCAATGTTTGTTTATTGATCTTTATTTGCAGCCTGTTAAAAATGTGAGAAATGCAGTTAATTAAGGAAAACCAGAATCATTGGATCACATCCACGAATTAACAGATGCCCCAACACTTTATAATAGATTTTAGTTCTCCAGTTCTGCAGTTCCATCATGTATTTTCACACTGCAGATATCACAGAACCCTACATAACTTACATTTGAGCTTCTCTTTAATTCTGTTTTCTGGTAGGTCCTTCCACTTCCTTCTGCTCCTCTAACAAATATGGCAGCAAACCTGGAACCCCTGCCTCCAACCCAAAGAAACCAGCTGAAGTAAGAACAATCTTTGTCATGAATGTCTGAGACTGCTGGCTGTCAAAAGTCAGGAGCATCAAATAAATGTTTGTACTTACGCTTTCTTCTGTTCTGCTCTTCTAGGTGTTCAGAAAAGACTTGATAAGTGCTATGAAGATACCTGATTCCCACCATGTATCTCCAGAGGACTACTACCTGCTGGCAGACACCTGGAGGCAGGAGTGGGAGAAAGGAGTCCAAGTACCAGCGAGTCCAAACACCATCCCAGAGCCTTCTGTTAGGTACGCCCGTCAGTTTTTACTTTAGTCAGACCATCGAAACTCTCTGCTTCAGCTTCAGAGTCTTGAAAGATGTTGTTTGTATTCAGAGTTATTGCAGAGAAGTCCAAAGAAGTGCTCTATACCCACCAGAGGAAGTACATTCAATGTTCAAGCCAGGAATCAACAGAACCAGAACCATATGTGAACATCAAGGAGCTCGCAGAGGCCATGTGTCGTTACGATCTGGATGATATGGATCTGTACTGGCTGCAGACACTCAACCAGGAGCTACACAGAATGGGTAAGAAAGGAATGCTCTAGTAAAAGATTTCTCTTGTATTTTCCCTGAGATGTTCGGTTGACTCCTTGTGAGTGATTCTCGGCTACTACCATATCAAATTTTAGCTCTGTATCTTTAAAACTGGCTGAGTCATAGCCATTTTTGTGTTTTCAGCCATCTTTGATTGGGTTGACGCCAAAAGTTAGTCAGTTTTAGATCCACTGATTCCTTTCTACTTGTTTAACTAAAGCCATTATCGTTGTCCACCTTTTGGTAACTTCTTAACACAGCCTCGATTCTGGTGTCTCCATCTGTGTTCCAGAGGAGGCGCCTGTAGATGAACTAATGATGGAACGAGCCATGGAGGCTCTGGAGAGGCAGTGTCATGACAACATGAAGCACGCCATTGAAACGGTGGAAGGTCTGGGCATCGAATACGACGAGGATGTTATCTGTGATGTGTGCCGTTCCCCAGACAGCGAAGAAGGGAACGACATGGTGTTCTGTGATAAGTGCAACATCTGCGTACATCAGGTTTCTGATCACTCAAGACAATTCTAGAAGACGTGGAACCACTTATTTAAACATGAACGGTCAGTGATATCATCGGTGCCTCTCCTCTCCCCCAGGCGTGTTATGGCATTGTCAAAGTGCCTGTTGGCAACTGGCTCTGTAGGACGTGTGTCCTCAGCATCGATCCACAGTGTCTTCTGTGTCCCAAGAAAGGTGGTGCTATGAAGGCTACGCGTGCCGGCACCAAGTGGGCTCACGTAAGCTGCGCCCTTTGGATCCCAGAGGTACGCAACACCTGCAGCTTCTCCTCCGTGTGTCTTCTGTATTGGGAATGGGGCTCTTCAGGTACCTTTGACAGGATTGTGATTTATGAAACACTTCAAACAGAATCCAGATCTATCAGTTTTTCCCCGAGATAACTTGCCATGGCGGGGCGCTCATCTCGTCCATGATTTTTGTCGGCGGGGGCTGAGAGACGTGTCCTGAGCTGCGCAGCGCACTGTTTATACCGACAGTTTTTTGCGGGGGGGGGGGACAGAGACATAGCCGCATGCTGTTTGCACTGACAGTTCTACAGTTTTAGAGCAGGGGTGGGGGAGAGGAGAGAGACACATCTGAGCCGTGCACCGTTTGTACTGACAGTTTGATTTTATGGGGGGGCGGCGACACAGAGACACATCTGAGCCGTGCACCGTTTGTACTGACAGTTTTCAAGTGGGGGCTGGGGGCGTTCAGCTTGAGGGATCAGCGTGAGGGAAGAGGCTGCCTTTAGCAAGCTGCCAGTTTAGCATTGCGTCATTGCCGACAGGTGGGGGGGGGGGTTGGTAGGCGGGGCACTCGGTTCTGTTGATGGGGCGGGGCACCCCGCTTGTATAATGGTAGGGGAAATACTGCCTATAAGAAACAAGAAAAAATGCTTTGCACTGCAACTAAACTGTTTTCAGTGAAATAAGGTTTTGTGAAGTAGATGAAGAAAAGAAAAAGTAAAAATGCTGATTCCACTGTTACAAGATCTTATGGCAATGGATGTCTATGCATCTCATGTTACAGCTACACAGAGCCTTTCCAGTAACTGAGAATATCATGGAAAAGTTGCTTAACTTCCATAATTTCATTCAAAAAGTTAATCTTTAATAGATGACAGATTCAGGCTCACAGTTTAAACTATTTAAAATATTTATTTGTTTAGTTTCACATAATTTCATCTTCCAGCTCATGAAACCCACGAAAACAGGAATTCAATAAATTAGAATACTGTGGAGACATCAGTCCACACTACTCTGTGTTTGTAGAAAAAAAAAATTAGGATCAGAACAAATCAATCCAAATATGGTTCTTTCAAATCAATAAGTCAATCTTCAACACTTGGTTGTGAATCTCTTTGTCTTCATCTCTGCCTCGATGTTACGTGGCATTGAGACCATCAGCCTGTGACATTGACTGGGAGTTATGGAAGCCCAGATTTCCTTCATGCTGTCAGATCTTCTTTGTTGTTGGGTCTGGTGCTCCTCATGTTCCTCTTGAGAAGACTCCATAGATTCTCAATGGGGTTTAGGTCCGGCCAGTTGGCTGGCCAGTCAAGCACTGGCATCAAACCAGGTTTTGGTGCTTCTGGCAGCATGGGCAGGGGCCAGGTCCTGCTGGAAGATGAACTTTGCATCTCCATACAGATCATCAGCAGAAGGACTCATGAAGTCCTCTACAACATTCTGGTAGACTGTTGCAGTGACCTTGGATTGAAGAAAGCAGAGTTTACCAACACCTGCACCGGACATTGCACCCAACTCATGACTGACTGTGGATATTTCACACTGGACTTCAACCAGTATGGGTTCTGTTCCTCACCCTTCTTCCTCCAAACCCTTGGACCTTGATTTCTGAATGAAAGACACTTTACTTTCATCTGAAAAGAGGACAGAGGAACCCGACAGTTGTAGTCCATCTCATTGATGAGTCTGAATGTGGTGGTTTTTGAAGCTGTGACTCCGCCTCATTCCACTCTTTCTGGATCTCTGACAGATTCTGGATCTTCTCTGGTTGATAATGCACTGAAGTCCACGGTCATCTCTGTTGCTGGTGCATCTTCTCCTGCCACATGTTGCCCTTCCACTAGACTTTCCATTGATGTGCTTGGACACAGCGCTCTATGAACAGCCAGCCTCCTTAGCTATGAACTTTTGTGTCTTACCCATCCTATGGAGGGTCTCAATGATGGTCTTCTGGACAGATGTTATGTCTGCAGTCTTCACCATATTGAACTGAACTGAGACAATTGAACCAAACTGAATCAATTTAATGACACCAGGGGAAACCTGTGCAGGTGCTTTGAGTTTAGTAGATGATCAGTGTTTAAAACATTCCTGTCCTGCAACATTTGGACTGATGTCTCCACAGTATTCTAATTTTTTGAATTCCTGTTTTCGTGGGTTTCATGAGCTGGAAGATGAAATTATGTCAAAATAAACAAATAAATAGTTTAAATAGTTTAAACGGTGGGCCCTGAATATCATCTATTAAAGAGTAACTTTATGAATGGAATTATGGAAGTTAAACAACTTTTCCATGATATTCTCATTTTTTGGAATGGGTCTGTATTTCCCACTTCCCTCAGTGTTTCCACAGCTTTGTTTTTGGTCTCAGAGTGTGGGAATGTCTGTGATGACCATGTTCTGTCTTTTCTTCAAAGTGTGAAAAACTGCTCTCAAGTTCTGTTTTTTGTTGCACGTCATGGAACGTAGAGGGGAACTGGAAATACCCTCCATCTGTCTGTTCATATCGTGAGCTGGGTAACTTGGAAAAATAAGTGAAGTGTTCTTGAGAAGAGAAACCGTCCATCATTAAACGGGCGGAGGCCTCCGTGTCCAGCTGCTCCTATCTTACAATGCTGTTATTACCGTATGTTCTGCCATACACGTCGCACCGTCCTGTAAGTTGCATCAGTCCATGTTTGTCTAACAAAGTGGAAAAATCCATAAATATGTTGCTTTGCCGTATACGTCGCATCTATTATGTGTCACCGCTGACACGTTGGGTTCGTTACGTGTCAGCGGTGACGACCTGGAAATGTGGGCCAGTGTTGTGGCAGAAACCGGTGGGCTACCAAATGTGGCTGCGGGAGCGTGCACGGGAGGAATTTAACAAGAATTTAACAAGTTTAACACTTAAAAACAATTATTTGTTTGCTGGAAATTATAGTAAATGTGTGTCTCAGTCTAACGTTTGCTAAATAAATAGACTTTGATGGTCAAATCAGCTGAATTTCAAAAATAATAATAGTAATACAAATAATAATAATGAACTTTATTTTTATAGCATCAACGCCTTGCATTGACCAAGGTGCTTCACAAGATAAAACAAATAAAAACAGGACACAATAAATCAGTGCAAATTAAAAACACAGCCAAAATAAAAGAAGGTAAAAGAGATAAAAAATGCTAAATACTAAAATACTACAAGTTAAAAGCCTTTTAAATAAGTATGTTTTCAGTTTGGCTTTGAACAGAACCAGATCAGAGATGGCACGCAGCTCATGGGGAAGAGTATTCCAGGCTGTTGGGCCTGCAACAGAAAAGGACGCAGTGTTTGCACCTTGAGCAAGGCACCTCCAGCAGATACTGACCAGCAGACAGTAAAGCTCTGCTGGGCTGGTGGACTTTCAAAAGTTCTGAAATATAGGGTGGTGCAAGGCCGTTCAAAGCTTTAAAAACAAGCAGCAGCAGCTTGAACTGTATCCTAAACTGAATCCTAAGATCAGGATCACATAATTCACAAGTACAATCAAGTAAAGTCAGATCTAGTTGGTTTTACATACTCAGTCCATTTGGTCCAGATCTGGTAAAAATTTTCTTTTTTGACTTGGAGGGAAAAATGTATTTTTTTCACAACATAAATCTGATAGACAATTTCAATCCATTCATCAATTGTGGGTGGTTCTGCCTTTAACCATTTCCTCGTGACGGATTTTTTACTGGCTGCCAACAGTATAGTCAACAGTTTTTTGTCCTTGTTGGTCTGTGTTTCAAGCATCAAGTTACCCAAGTACAAAGTTTCACAGTTGAATGGAATGTTTACATTAAATACATTTTCAATATGTTTGTGGATCTCTTCCCAGTAGGGTCTTATTACCTGGCACTCCCAGAAAATGTGGAAGTGGTTGGCTCCCTTAGACCCACAAAGTCTCCAACAAGCATCCCCCTTGCCCTGGTGTCGTTTCTGAATGGGTGTGACAAAAAATCTTGCAATGTTTTTCCAGCAGAATTCTCGCCATGTGTTTGATCCAGTCGAGACCCATTGTAGTTGATATAGTTTCTCCCAATTCTCCTGTGTGATCATTATTTTCATTTCATTTTCCCATTTCTTCTTTATATATTCTGTATTACCTTGTTTAGATATTTGAATGGCATTATACAGTTTAGAGACAATTTTGTTGTCTGCTCTGGACTTAATTAATGATAGAAATACCTCCATGAACTTTGGCTCGCCTGTTTCTAACGTCCCTTTAAGTTATTTATCAAAATAATGTCTCACGTGTAGGTACCTGAAGAAATCATCTTTTCCCAGTCTATGAACCTTCTGTAATGTTTCAAAACTCAGAAATGTCCCTTTATGGACAAATGAATAATAGGTAGTTAATCCTTTTGAAATCCATAACTTAAATCTGTTGTCTGTTCTATTTGGTGTGAAGTCCGAGTCATAGGCACGCCACCTCAAAATTTTAGCTGTACCTCCTAATCTGCCATTTTTAATTCCATCCTGCCAGGACTTCAGAAAGCTACCCGTTATGTGGTCTTCTGGGATCTGTTGTTCTTCTTGTAATTTATGATCACTGAGTAGGGCTGTTATTGGGACTCCTTTTATCGTTGTACCTTCTATTTCCTTCCAAGCTGCAGTGTATGTTGGTGAACACAGACAGACTAAAGGTCTCAGCTGGGCTGCGTGGTAGTAATCCTTTAAACAGGGAAGGCCCACTCCACCCTTTTCTTAATTGCAGCATCTTGAATTTAATTCTGGCCTTTTCCCCTGCCACAAATACCTTGCTATTAATCTGTCCCATTCTAAGAACTGTTGAGGTGGGATTCTGACTGGTAAACACTGAAATAAGTACAGCATCCGTGGAAGTATATTCATTCTGATGGATTCTATCTGGGATTTTAAACTTAAAAAGGGAATAACGTTCCATCTGTGTATATCAGACTTTATTTTGGAATTTAAAGGGCGGTAGTTTATATCAAAGAGTCTCAAGAAGTCCCGAGGTAGTGATACTCCTGTTAAAGACGCTCAAAAA